AGAAGGACGCATGGGGCATACATGGGCGGAGTGGAGCATGTGTGGGATCCATGTAGCAACCGGCAAGCATGCAATGCGTGCGGGTGGGCGGCGGGCTATATTCACCTGACATTGATGACGTCGTCCACCCTGCCTGTGATCCAGTAGAACCCATCAGCATCCCTGCGACAGCCGTCCCCGGAGAAGTAGTAGCCCTGGGGGACACAGGGAGGTAGCAGGGAGGAAACAGGAGAGTCCACGAGTGAGAAACCCAAAGATATGTCCCACATTGGTGTTCGAGGGTGATTGCGCAAGACGCGGGTGAAGGAGGCCTGGAGAGCAGTGGCAGAGAGGTGATGAGCCTGATGGGAGGTGATGTGACTGAGAACGGTGGGCCATGAGAATGGTGGGTAAGACACCAATCCCAAAAGGAAAAACTCGAGAATGCTAAGGCGGAACATACCGGGAAGGGCGCAAAGTAGTTGGTTTCGTAGCGAGCATGGTCGCCCACAACAGTGCGCATCATGCTGGGCCACGGGCGCTTGATGCACAGCAGCCCTGCTGCCTCCTCGCCCTCGCCCGTGGCTATCTCCCTGCCGTGCTCGTCCAGCACCACCGGCTCCACGCCAAAGAAGGGCAGCGTGGCGCACCCGGGCTTTAAGGGCATGGCGCCCGGGAGAGGGGTGATCTGAGAGGGTGAGGGGAGAAGGGAGGGAGGCAAGGGGGTTAGGGCGTGTGTGTTTCTCTGTGTGTACGCACGTGCATGTGCGATTGCATGCGTGCATGTGTGTGTATTCTCTTGTTTGACTTAAGAAGCACCCCAACAACCCATTCATCGTGTGGCCTGCTTACCATGATAGCGCCTGTCTCTGTTTGCCACCAGGTGTCAACGATGGGGCAGCGCCCCCTTCCCACTGCAGAGTGGAACCAGCTGGTGAGACAAGGGAGAGACATGGGGGAGGAGGGGAGGGAGGGGCAGCATGGAGAGGCGATAACGTGAGGGACGGAGGTGCAGAAAGTGTCCCATGGTGCACAGTTGTGCACTGTATGGTGCTGGAGAATGGTGCATGGGACATGCTGTATGGGTTCTTACCGCCATGCCTCGGGGTTGATGGGCTCACCCACACTCCCCAACAGGCGCAGAGACGCCATGCTGTACTTGCCAGGCCACTGCCAGCACAACGAGGGGCAGGGGCAGGCACAGGGCCGGAGAGATTGATACATCACGAGGGTTGGGATGAAGCAGAGGCCACATAGCAGGAAGAATGGTGCAAGTGCAGGGGGAAGAGTAGTGAGGAAGAGATGGAGGGCTAACCTGGTCGCCGCATCGCATGAGGGCGCGGATGGCAGTGGGCGCCGTGTAGAAGACAGTCACCTTGTACCTGATGGCGTGAGGCGAGGAGCAAGGGCAATGAACACAGCAACGCACGCACAGAGAGAAGGATACAGGAGCAAGTTAGCCCAAGCCCTGAAACAAAGGTCCAACTTCAATCAAGATAACACGCAGGTCCCTTGCCATGCCCACCCTTTCCTCTCCCTTCTTATGAACCGCCATCCCTCCTCCCCCATCGTGCCCTTCCCCCATCCCCCCTCCCACCGCGCACGCACTTATCAACGACGTCCCAGCAGCGGCCGGCGTCAGGGTGCGTGGGCACGCCTTCGAATACCACCATAGACGACCCCTTCAGCAGCGGCCCGTACGCCAGGTACGTGTGCCCCGTGATCCACCCGCAGTCCGCCGTGCACCAATACACGTCATCGTCGTGGTGGTCGAAGATGTATTTAAAGCTCGTGCCCGCGCCGACCATGTAGCCGCCCGTGGTGTGCTGCACGCCCTTGGGCTTGCCGGTGCTGCCTGAGGTGTAGAGCAGGAAGAGCGGGTCCTCGCTCTCCATCCACTCCACCGGACACGTGTCGGGCTGGAGACGCACCGCGTCCTGCCACCACACGTCGCGCGACGGCTCGAATGGCACGTGGGAGCGCTGATGGGATGGGGGGAGATGGAAGCGGGGGGAGACGGATGGAGGACGGGAGAAGGGGGCATTGGTGAGGGTTGTGAACCTCTGCAGATGCATGTGTGCAAGTGCGCCTCAAATTACGTGCCTGGGATTGTGACTGTGGACATGCGTGTGCGCGCTCCCGTGTGCGCGTACGAATACGGCGAGGCAAGACACACCAAATTCACCTCCTCCGCGCCATACCTGCATGGCGAGGTCGTTATCGAAAACGAGCACCGTGCTGGGCTCCAGGCGCGCGGCGCCGCACTGCGCGACGGCCTCATCGACGATCTTTTTCAGCGCGATCAGCTTCGTCCCGCGCATCACGGCGGACGCCGTCAGCACGACGCGGGATGCCGAGTCCGCGATGCGCCCCGCGAGCGCCTCCGCGGAGAACCCCGCGAACACCACCGAGTGCACCGCGCCGATGCGCGCGCACGCGAGCATGGCGGCGGGGAGCTCGGGGACCATGGGCAGGTAAATGGTGACCACGTCGCCCTTGCGCACGCCCACGCTGCGCAGGTAGTTGGCGATGCGGCACACCTGCGGTGCAGCCATGGGACGGAAAAGGATGAAAGGTGCCACGGGAGGTTTCAGTCGGAATGCCAGACACTGTCTTACGCAGACACCGCCAGAAGCCCTTTCAATATCAATAACATACAATGCCATGGCGGGCAGAGCGCAGCTCACCTGAGCCAGCAGCTGCGAGTACGTCCATTGGCCCGACACGCCCAGGTCGTTGCCCTCCCAAAATATGGCGACCTTGTCGCCGCGCCCCGCCGCCACGTGGCGGTCCACGGCATTGTAGCAGAGGTTGGTGCGGCCGCCCACGAACCACCTGATGTCCACCGCGCCTTGACGCACGTCCATGTTTCCCTCTTGCAGCACCTGGCAGATAATCGAGGTGGTTTTCATAGAGCTGAGGCTTTGGTTCGGAATGCGTGTTATTTCAAACGGCATAGACTACTACCGTAGTGGTTCATCGTCAACAAGAAAGCATAACTGCTGATTTAACGACAGAAAACTACCAGCGACGGAATGAAATGCGTCGACGTACCTCCCAGGGAGTCTCCCAGTGGTATTGCGCCGACATGGCGCCCCAGAAGGCCTCGGGATCGTCGAGCGACTGGCGGTACATGGCGTCGTACTGCGCGCGCGACTTGACGAGCGCGCGCTCCACGAAGCTGTCGAGCGGCTCCACCGGCTGCTCCTCCTCCGTCACCGCCTCCGCTGCCGCCGTGTCGAAGTCCAACATGTTGCTGCTCTCCGCGCTCACTGATCCTTTCTCGCCCAAGAGCTTCCCCGCCATGTCTTAAATCTGATGACGATCCTCGATCAGTGGGGGTGGCGGGTCTTGGAGATGACGCGTAGATTTCTAAGCAAGTTTCAATGGCTGCTTTTTTCCTGCTCGTGCCTTGGTAAGTTTTTTTGCTAACTAGAAGCAGATAATCACGGTCGAGGGGCTTGTCTAGAACTCGCTAAATGAATGTAGGAGTTGTGTGTGAGAGCTTTTCTCGGAGTTGGTGTGAAATGTTTGTGAGATGGGGCATCCATCCACATTTACACGCCGCCGAGCCGCGAGTGACAACGGCGCCGAGAATCAGGCGCTGCATTCCACAGCAAAGCGCAGGTTGACCCTCCCCCACCAACCCAACAGAGGGGGGTGGAGCAAATGCACGCAGGAAATTCCACAACTCAACTGTCGCCCACTCTTCCGTTACCACAATTCTCGTGCTGGAGCCACTGGTTGTTCTTAGGCTGCCCTGCCCTTCTCCTAACGACGGTTGCTGTCTTGAAAAATCGGCGTTTATTATTCCAGTAGAATACTCGAAACGTTTTTCTACATGTGATTTGAGGTCATCCAGATTATGTTTGTTTGGGCAGGTTTCCAGACGAACTCACAAGGAAGAATTACCCGCAAAAATCATTCTGCCACCACGGCACCGGCAAATCGCCGCCATCACATGGCTCTAGCGTAGGGTGAACGTTAGCCGTTCGATCATCCAGCGCATCCATAGAACTTCTCGAATACAGTACACACCTTGCTTGAACTGGTGGTGTCACTGGTGTGGTGAGGCGAAACACGAGCGACCCGGGGTTCACCCCACCATCTCAGGAGATCGTCAACTTTCATGTGTGCGTTTTTTGTACGCGATGTTCGCTTCCCTAGTGTTTCGAGATTTATGAACATCGGTGTAGCATGCATGTTCTTCACAGGATATGTTTATGTTGCATGTGAAGAAGGCTAACAATTCTTGTCAGAGCCCATCAATTTCCAATTCTTGTTTCGAGCAAAAACATATGACGAAGGGAATGCGATCGAATTCTCGCTGTCTGTTATGAGTTGTAAAAGAGAGTGCGCAGGTAAACAACGAAGCTGTGACTGAATCAACTGCGAATACAATGAATGCACAGACTAATGTAGGACTACTCTAGCTAGGAGGAAACCTCGGACGAGCTAGGTTGGGTGCAGGTTTGGCGATGGGAAAGCCGAAGGCGACGTGAGGAGCCTCGGCAGCGTTGAAATCGGCCGAACGTGCGAACTCCGAAAATCGGGTTGTACGCGAAGCAGTCAACCCCGATAAGGAATTCGGGAAAATTCCTTACACTGTCACTCCTGACCTTATTTTAGTGACCAATCAGGGAGACTCAGGTCAGGAGTTTCACGCAAATTTCACATAGGGTTGGGATGGGATGCTCGAAAGAGTAGCTTCGCGAACCAGTGATGCGCATGCAGCGTCACCTCGCGAATTCGCCCGATTGACAGGAAACTAGCAGGCGACAATTCTCTTCCTTTCGGTCAGCCAATCAGAGTTCAGCATTGGGATGTTCGCGACAAGGGTGTTGTCGAGGTGAGGGTGAAGGCAAAGAAGTCACATTCACCATTCCTTGGAACTCCACAGACCACTCACAAACTGGAACTGATTCCGAGGTGACTGCTAGGGCTAGGAGTACCTAGCAGACAGCAGAGTATCGAACAACGCATTTAGCGGCTGCGGAACCGAGCTCTCGACTCTGTTCGCCATGGGTCAGTTAACGGGCCTGCTTCAACCACTATACCGTGGTTGGGCCCTCACCGTGCTTCTCGCTGCTGTCGCCTACTCATTTATCCTGTCTCCTTACTACGCTAAGCAGGTGCTACTCTGTCTACTGTTACGTCTCCTTCCAAGCTCCATTATTTCATTACGAAAGTTCTTCTCACCTCATTCCTTCGGTCCTGTTCCATTGGTGATGAGCCACCACAGTCATATCTTCGAGCTTGCTTTGTCAATGCGCTCAAATTCTCCTCGCTCAACCCCCTCCTCGTCCTTCCAACTTACTCCCCATAATTCTCGCAGGCGGCAATGTCCTGCAGCCTTCACGACTTCAAGGATTTCGTTCTCGTCAGCTCTCGTGTCGTCACACCCAACGGAGTCATCCCTGCTGCTAGTAGGAACCCCTCGGTTACTCCAATTTCCCGCGTTACTCCGACTCCCCTGCTCGTGTATCTTTTTCTCGCTTGACATCCACGCCTCCACCCACTTCCTTCCATCCTATGTTTGATTCTTCGTTCTCTTTCCCCACCGCTCTCCCGTGGTCGCAGTCACTGTCCGCGATGGCGTCATCACAGCCGTTCTTGAAGGCACGGCTGCAGAATCTCGACCGTCCGGCTTACCCGTTCTGGACTATGGCGATGCTGTGATTTCACCTGGCCTAGTCGACGTGTACGTAGTACAATGACCACCTAATCGTCATTTCCGGGCCCTTCGCTCCTCTATCACAGAATGTTTCCTTCAGCTCTGGCAACTGCCTCTTTCCCTTCTCTCCTCTCAATCTATTGATTACTCCGTTCTCCTGCCTGCGACGCTAAACATTCTCTGTCTGTCTGGTCTCCCTTGTTCTATTCCTGCTTCAGTCATGTTCACCTGAACGAGCCTGGTCGGGAGGAGTGGGAGGGCTTTGTTACAGGCACACGAGCCGCTGCTGCTGGTGGGTTTGCTCACGTTGCGAAGGCGAGGATGGGTAGAGACGTGGAAATCGGGAGCTTTAGGGATAATTAGGGCCATGCAAATATAATCAACAGCTGGTGATGCTCGGGTTTGGTTAGCTCTGGACTGCATTCAGATACCATATCTGACTCTTACAGCATATGGCAGCTGCTCTTTCCCTCACGTGGCCTGTTGGTGGATATGATGGCTGGTAACCTTGCAGGTGGTGTGACTGCATTGGTGGACATGCCTCTCAATTCTTACCCCACCACCACCACCATTGAAGCGTTTGCAATGAAGGTGAGGAAGCAACGAACAGGACCCCTTCCTCCCTCCACAACCCACAGCAGCTTCCCCTACTCGCTTTCCTCCAAGTCCGTGTGTCTCTTAATGTTTCCTTCCTCCTTTATGGTTAATTCTGGCACTGGGTGAGGGCATGCTAATGCAAGCAACTCATGGCCAAAAAAGTGGCCATGAATCTCGTGCATGCCAGGAATCTCGACTCGTTCTTTCCAGTCTCGTCCCCTACTTTCTCTCAAAATTGTCCTTTCATTCATTCTGGCATGTCCCCCCTCTGACCTACTCTCCCCCTTCCGTCCCTACCCCACTCTTTGCCCGTTATCTCTCCTATTTCTGCATGTGCGCCAGTACAAGGCTGCTGAATCTAAGATTATGGTGGACGTTGGTGAGTGGCCTGATCCCGACTCATTCTTATGCTTTATAAGTAATTTGAATGTCACGCCTCTGTTTGGTATCCATCCATCCCAACCTTTCGCTTGCTCATAGTATTAAGTACGCTTTCTAATTCCCTCCCTCAATTGTGGTCCGTGGGTGCAGGGTTCTGGGCTGGCCTGGTGCCAGAGAATGCCAATGATTCTCACCAGCTGCAACGCCTCGTTGACGCTGGCGTGCTCGGATTCAAGGTAAGCTCCCCAACGCACTGGTGAGATGCGCGCGTTGTGCATGTAGACTGATTACGGTTCAAGTTTTGAGCTCATGCAACGTTGCCCATTCTTTCCGTACTGATTGGCAGAGAATTTGTATCAAATCCTTGTATCTATGTTCTTCTAATTTACAATTCCCATTTCCCCCTCCGTCTCTGTCCTTCGTTTGCCTCCTTACAGTCGTTCATGTGCCCATCAGGCATCAATGACTTTCCGCATACCAACTCCTCCCATTTTGAGGTGAATTTTTGCTTTCATACATGCGTACTTGGTATCTTCCTCCGCCATAATCTCATCCCAGATTTAAGTCTCCAGCCACTTCGTTTAATACTCGTTTCAGCTCATTGTTTTCCACCTCACAACGTACCTTGCTCAGGGCTCACTACTTCCCTCCCCCTCTGCTTTCCCACCACAACCATCGCATTCCATCTGACCCATGTCTCAGAGCGCTCTCCCCGTTTTGGCGAAAGCTAAGCTACCTCTGTTAATCCACTCAGAAGTGGTTCTCCCCACACCTGACGCCTCTGCACCTGCCTCTCACCCTAGCAGCGGCAGCGACAGCAGTGATGATAGCAGTGAGAGTGTCAGCAGTGGTGATGCAGAGGAGGGGGCTATCATTCGTCCTGTGGTGGAGAGTGAAGGGGGTTTTGATGATGGGGCTGGGAGCACGGCAGGGACGGAGCCAGAGAAGAGTGACGGAGACCCACGGGTGTATGCAACCTACGAGGCTTCCAGACCTCCCAGCATGTAACAACTTCCTCCCTACCTCGTCACTCCTTCCCCATCGTCATCCTCACTCTTGCTCACAAAAGCACACACTCTATTCTTCATGGTTTCAGCTGCTGAAGCAGCATCTGTTACCTTCTGATATCCTCCCTTTGCCTGCCACCGGACACCTCTACAGGGAGCGCGAGGCCATTGCTCACGTGCTGAGAGTGGCGCAGAAGACAGCAGCTGGGCAGCCGTGGGAGGGTGCAAAGCTGCACATCGTTCATCTCGCTGATGCCCACTCTGTACCCACCATCCAGGTGTGTTCAGCCACAGTTCCACTGTGTTGCGAACGTATCTTATGTGCATTGGTTATATGCATGCGTTCCTGGGTGATCAGGTGTGCCTGTGTGCAAGCGTGCTTTGCCACCCAACAGTGATCCCTTTGCATCTTTCCCCTCGACTCTTCCCTCCCCTACCTCCCTCTCTCCCTCTTTCTCCATCTCCTGCACGCATGTTCTTTCACAGGCAGCCAAGGCAGCAGGGGCAGCAGTGACAGTGGAGACATGTCCGCACTACCTTGCCTTTGCGTCCTCTGACGTGCCACCTGGGGACACTCGCTTCAAGTGTGCCCCTCCCATCCGCAGCGATAGCAACCGCCGCATGCTATGGGAAGCACTCATGGTGGGTGCCTAGAACTGACTGTGGGGACGGTCTAAGTTCCCAAGTGTATTTGTATGTGCTGAATGTTCTTCCCCTGTCGCTCTCCTTGGGGTTGGAAGTGGCCCTGATTGACAACCCTGAGGGGGGGGTGTGCATGCTTTGCAGGATGGGGGCATTGACATGCTGTCCTCGGACCACTCGCCTAGCCATCCATCCCTCAAGAACCTGGACACAGGCAACTTCCTCACGGCATGGGGCGGCATTGCAGGCCTGCAGGTGGGATCAATGGCTGGAAAAGTCCCAGCTTCCGTTCATGCATTTTGCAGCTTATATGACTGGAAAATGAGATCTCGCATTGGCTTGCTCCTCCCGCTGCCGTGTCCAATGCACATAGCCACGATATGACAAGGATGTTTATCAGCCTTCTTAGAACGCCAGTTCTGAGGACTCCACCTCCTCTCGTGCCCATGTCTGCCATCTTCTGCATGGTGGTTTGTGTTGCAGCTGAGCCTGCCAGTGACATGGACGCATGGCCAGGCATTCAACATGTCCCTCATGCAACTGGCACGCTGGTGGAGCGAGGCACCTGCACAACTTGCAGGGCTCCAGTCAAAGGTAAGAAGAAGAAGAATAAAACAACTCTGCTGTGCTTCTTAACCCCCTGCTTGCCTTTCTTCTCCAAGTTTTCCTTTGCCCCAATGAATTCTCCGCCGCGCCTGATTCATCACCGCTGTGATACTTTTGTAGGGAGCAATTGTAGCTGGCAAGGATGCTGACCTTGTGGTATGGGATCCGCAAGCCTCTTTTACAGTGGGCGTGGATGTGCAAGTGTTCCACCGCCACGCGGTGACACCCTACAACAGCAGCATACTTCGGGGGCGTATCATGGGCACGTATGTGAGGGGAAATCTTGTTTACGCAGGGGTCAGGCATGCAAGCAAGGCGTGTGGGGTCAGATTACGCAACTAGCTGTTGCTGTATGTATCGAGGTTCATGTTATCAACATGCACGAAAAAAATATGATTACTCTTCTTGAAACTCTTCTACAGTATATCTACATAGCCACGGTTTTCAAATCATGTAATATATTGTGTAGAGCGAGGTCGGTGTATAAACGGATCGCTGTTGGGAACAGTATTTGCAACTCCACCAGTTTCATCAGTCCGTGGCTTGCGCCTGAACAAGTGGTGTAGCTCCACTGGCAATCTGGCCTTCTGAACGGGTGGTGGGTACGGGTGAAAAACCGTTCAGGTGTGTCCCCCTGGCCTGCCGGGAGCCCCACCCCACCCACTCCACGGACACCACCTGTTAACTCAACTCGGGCTCTGATTGGTTTGTCGGCTGCGCCCGGGACCGTCGAGCGAACATAATACACCCGTTTTCTCAAACTTTTCAACTTGCGCGACTCGTCGCTGCAGTGCTTGTCTCTTGCGATCTGGTGCCATTAAACGTTCCAAGCAACCTGGGGGGAAAGCCGGTGAGAGACTCGCTCAAGGTTGTAAAATTTCCGCAATCACTCTATACCCTTCTAAAACTAATGAGAACGTTGACAACGCTGTTTGTAAAGTGCATAACCTTACCTAACCACGTTGACAAGACCATTCTGAACGTGGTGACGTTCTACAACCTGTGTATGTTATGAAACCAGGTGCTCTACTAGCACGAAAGAGGGTGTACCCGTGGGGGTGGTGGTGTTGTTCGGCTGGCGCTCGCACACTGGCGCGTCGGCCAATCTCCGCCAGAAAATAATCATTGCCGTCGATACGGAGAAAAGGAACGCGGAAAGCCGTCGATTCTTGCAGCCCCCCTCCCTCGAATCTGGCCCAGTTGTTCCGTGCTTCGTCCAGGCGAGCGCCTCCATCCAGCTAATGCTCATTTGACTTACCCAAGGTTGCCTTGTTAAGAGGTATTTTAAGTGGTTAGATGAGTTTCGCAAATTTCGTCAACGTAGCACCTAGCAAGAAAGGGCTCAATATAAAATTTGTAACTCTCTGTTGACTTTTTGACTTCAGTCTCCTCTGTTTGACTTCGGTTTCTGTGGTTCGTATTGGTTTATAACCACTGCATCTTGCCCGAGGGGCTTGTAATGTAGGTGCAACTGGCTGGTTAAAAAAACACGCGTGCAGACTTTCCATCCGGGGCAGGGCAAATTCGCGCACAGGGGTTGCGCATCGTGGGTAGGCTCCCCTCTAACCCCAACTTCCCTCCCACCCTTCCTCCATGCTCTCCCACAATACAACCCTCCGCACGAGACGGGAGCAGCAACTGGTCCAGCCCCATTCAGTACCACCACCTCCCTCGCCTTCCCTCCCCATAATGTTGACCAACTTCCAACCAACTTTATCCAATCCAGATGCATTTTCTCCCTGCGAATCGATACCTGTTGTATTATCACCTCCCGAAAACATTGCCAGTTATAGGTAGTAGCTTCGCGCATAGTGGCCGAAGGCTGTGATTGATAACAGCTCTTCCCTACACCAAGAAACCCCACATACATACGGCACCACGGACATTCATCGTCGACCTACTTTTCTGTTGGGGGAGGTTTCCGTAACGTCGTCGTTTATTTTCTAGAGCCTGCGTAGATTCAACAGGGCTCAGTAACAAGAGAGTTTGGCAGAATACAGCCTTCGCAATCAAGAACTTCGTTACCCCGTGACGTAGGGCAACACGATGAAGAGCAGCAAGGATTGCAACAGTTCCCACTGCCATGGCGATTTGCCAAAATGCAAGGCGCCAGTGAAACCCGAGAGCGTGATGATCGGCGACCGGCATTTGGTACTATACGTGTCCATTCTCAGTATTATCACATCCGCTGTCGTTACAGGAATCGTGCTTACACTCCCCATGACGTCATCCTTCGTCACCCGCGCTATCCGCGCATCGACTACGCGGCCGGCGGAAGGAGCGCCGGTGGCGGACTTTGGGGAGGTTGTGCGCGCGGAAGGTCGGAGACAATGGGGGGAAGTGGAAGCTGACACTCTCGGTGGAAGCAGACCCGCGGGTGCGGAGGCGCAAGACGGGAACACGCAAGGAGAGGGTCAGACGCAGAATGACCCGGATTCACGGAGAGAAGATTACGGTGAAAGGGCCGGAGCGGCGGGAGAGGCGGGAGCGGCGGGGGGAGTGGAGAACGAAGAGGGAGAAGAGGGGGGAGAGGAGGCAGGGATGATAGTGGGGGCGGACGCTAGCGAAGAGGACGCCGCGCGCATGGCGGCGAATCTTACGGTGTGGGAGGAAGACTCGTGGGATGGCGTGCAGATGGTCGTGCATATCAAGGTATGTGATGCGATGTAATATGACGCGATATGGAACAGTAGTTAACGACAATAATAATTACCAAAAGAGAACTAACTACCCCACGGTGTCGAACCAGAAAGAGCACTGCAAGCAGCAGAACCGTGCAGCACCGTAGCTAGCAAGTTACACAACGCCTTTCTTCCGCCCCCTCAAACCCACGCCTCCGTGACTTCTCCACTCGCCCCCTCCGGCCCTTCCTCCGGGCTCACCCCTCGCCCCACGCCCCTCGGCCCCCAACCCGCGGCCCCCGCCCTTCGCCCCCCGCCCCTCACCCCCCACTCCCCCCCACCCCTTATCCGCACCAGGAGCACACGCTGCCCGCGTGCCTGCTGGTGCTGTGCCAGGCGCAAGCGTACGCGGCGCTGCAGCGCATGCAGCTGGGCGTGCTGTGGGACACGCGCCTCTCGCACCTGCTCCCCCGCGTGCACCTGCGCGACCTCTTCCTCCCGCCCGACCTCCCCCTCCGCACGCGCCTGCCCCCCGGATGGGCGGGCGTACAGGGCGGGAAGGTTGTGGCGGAGCGGGGGGGGAAGAAGGAGGAGTTTCAGTCTCTAAAGGTGAGTCGCGCTAGGGAAGGGGGAGGAAGAAAGGGGGAAAAGGGGAAACGGGGAAAGAGAGAGGGGGGAGAGGACGGGGAGGGAAGGGGGGGGAAGTGAGAGGGGAGAGAGAGAAGGGGAGGGGAGGAAGGGAGGATAAAGAAGGAATGACAAAGACAATGATTGGAAGAATAAACGCATGGGGCAGTCTACCAAGGAATAAGCTGGTGCCTACGAATCTCGTTGCTTTCCCCCATTCTTTTTGTTTGCTGCTGTGACGTGCCTGTATCGCTTGCAAGTTAAGACAGTCCTGTTTGCTGCATCATTCCCCCAAGCCCCACGCCCTTGTTTGTATGTAACCAGTCCGTGTCTCTGTTGTCGGTCCCACTTCTCCTTGCCCACGCCCCATTAACCACTTACCACAGCTCCTTCCCCATCCCCAGCTCTCCACTCCCCAGCCCTCACCCCCTTTTCCCCATTCCTCATTCCGCATCCCCTATCCCCCATCCCACCCCATTCTCCATCCTGCACCATCCATCCCGCTGTGAGAGCACCAGGTGCGGTTGCAGTGTGCGGATCGGGGCCATCTCCCGCTGCCCTTCCACTCGCCCACCTTCAATCTGCTCGTCTCTCAGGACGCCGCGCCCTTGCTGGTCAGTGCTCCCTGCTAACTCAAAACTGCTCACTGCTCACCACTCACTGCTCACCACTCACTGCTCACCACTCACTGCTCAGCTCATCGCACTTCTCCCCTTCATCTCCATCCACCTCTGCCCGCCTCACTCCCCCTCTCCTCCCCTCATCCTCCCACCCCCCCCTTCCTCTCTCGTCTCGTCGCTTCCATCTCCCCCTCCCTCCACCCCCGTACCATGCACGCACGGGGGCAGCGGCACGGGGTGAGGGCGTGTGTGCACGCGGTGGGCGTGGAGCGGTGCTACAGGGGCCTGCAGCCCACGCGGCACATCAAGCGCCTGCTGGCGCGAGAGAACATCAAGCGCACGCGAGCCGCTGTCGCCGTGCTCATAGAGGTGCGCTGTGAGGGATGCATACATGTGGGGAGGAGAAGAGGGTGGGGAAGGGGTTTTGAGGCGCCGTGCTCATAGAGGTGCGGTCGGATAGAGGTGCGGTCGGATGGGGGTGATGGTCGGATGGGGGTGATGGTCGGATGGGGGTGATGGTCGGATGGGGGTGATGGTCGGATGGGGGTGATGGTCGGATGGGGGTGATGGTCGGATGGGGGTGATGGTCGGATGGGGGTGATGGTCGGATGGGGGTGATGGTTGGATGGGGTTGATGGTTGGATGGGGGTGATGGTTGGATGGGCATGGGGGTGATGGTTGGATGGGGGTGATGGTTGGATGGGGGTGATGGTCGGATGGGGGTGATGGTCGGATGGGGGTGATGGTCGGATGGGGGTGATGGTCGGATGGGGGTGATGGTCGGATGGGGGTGATGGCTGGATGGGGGTGATGGTTGGATGGGGGTGATGATTCGATGGGGGTGATGGTTGGATGGGGTTGATGGTTGGATGGGGGTGATGGTTGGATGGGCATGGGGGTGATGGTTGGATGGGGGTGATGGTTGGATGGGGATGATGCTCGGATGGGGGTGATGGTTGGATGGGGGTATGGTTGGATGGGGGTGATGGTTGGATGGGGGTGATGGCTGGATGGGCATGGGGGTGATGGTTGGATGGGGGTGATGGTTGCATGGGGGTGATGGTTGGATGGGGATGATGCTCGGATGGGGGTGATGGTTGGATGGGGGTGATGGTTGGATGGGGGTGATGGTTGGATGGGGGTGATGGTTGGATGGGGGTGATGGTTGGATGGGGTTGATGGTTGGATGGGGGTGATGGTTGGATGGGCATGGGGGTGATGGTTGGATGGGGGTGATGGTTGGATGGGGATGATGCTCGGATGGGGGTGATGGTTGGATGGGGGTATGGTTGGATGGGGGTGATGGTTGGATGGGGGTGATGGTTGGATGGGGGTGATGGTTGGATGGGGGTGATGGTCGGATGGGGGTGATGGTCGGATGGGGGTGATGGTCGGATGGGGGTGATGGTTGGATGGGGGTGATGGTTGGATGGGGGTGATGATTGGATGGGGGTGATGGTTGGATGGGGTTGATGGTTGGATGGGGGTGATGGTTGGATGGGCATGGGGGTGATGGTTGGATGGGGGTGATGGTTGGATGGGGATGATGCTCGGATGGGGGTGATGGTTGGATGGGGGTATGGTTGGATGGGGGTGATGGTTGGATGGGGGTGATGGCTGGATGGGCATGGGGGTGATGGTTGGATGGGGGTGATGGTTGCATGGGGGTGATGGTTGGATGGGGATGATGCTCGGATGGGGGTGATGGTTGGATGGGGGTGATGGTTGGATGGGGGTGATGGTTGGATGGGGGTGATGGTTGGATGGGGGTGATGGTTGGATGGGGTTGATGGTTGGATGGGGGTGATGGTTGGATGGGCATGGGGGTGATGGTTGGATGGGGGTGATGGTTGGATGGGGATGATGCTCGGATGGGGGTGATGGTTGGATGGGGGTATGGTTGGATGGGGGTGATGGTTGGATGGGGGTGATGGTTGGATGGGGGTGATGGTTGGATGGGGGTGATGGTCGGATGGGGGTGATGGTCGGATGGGGGTGATGGTCGGATGGGGGTGATGGTTGGATGGGGGTGATGGTTGGATGGGGGTGATGGTTGGATGGGGGTGATGGTTGGATGGGTTTGATGGTTGGATGGGGGTGATGGTTGGATGGGCATGGGGGTGATGGTTGGATGGGGGTGATGGTTGGATGGGGATGATGCTCGGATGGGGGTGATGGTTGGATGGGGGTATGGTTGGATGGGGGTGATGGTTGGATGGGGGTGATGGTTGGATGGGCATGGGGGTGATGGTTGGATGGAGGTGATGGTTGGATGGGGGTGATGGTTGGATGGGGGTGATGGTTGGATGGGGTTGATGGTTGGATGGGGGTGATGGTTGGATGGGCATGGGGGTGATGGTTGGATGGGGGTGATGGTTGGATGGGGATGATGCTCGGATGGGGGTGATGGTTGGATGGGGGTGATGGTTGGATGGGGGTGATGGTTGGATGGGGATGATGCTCGGATGGGGGTGATGGTTGGATGGGGGTGATGGTCGGATGGGGGTGATGGTCGGATGGGGGTGATGGTCGGATGGGGGTGATGGTCGGATGGGGGTGATGGTTGGATGGGGATGATGCTCGGATGGGGGTGATGGTTGGATGGGGGTGATGGTTGGATGGGGGTGATGGTCGGATGGGGGTGATGGTCGGATGGGGGTGATGGTTGGATGGGGGTGATGGTCGGATGGGGGTGATGGTCGGATGGGGGTGATGGTTGGATGGGGGTGATGGTCGGATGGGGGTGATGGTCGGATGGGGGTGATGGTCGGATGGGGGTGATGGTCGGATGGGGGTGATGGTCGGATGGGGGTGATGGTCGGATGGGGGTGATGGTCGGATGGGGGTGATGGTCGGATGGGGGTGATGGTCGGATGGGGGTGATGGTCGGATGGGGGTGATGGTCGGATGGGGGTGATGGTCGGATGGGGGTGATGGTCGGATGGGGGTGATGGTCGGATGGGGGTGATGGTCGGATGGGGGTGATGGTCGGATGGGGGTGATGGTCGGATGGGGGTGATGGTCGGATGGGGGTGATGGTCGGATGGGGGTGATGGTCGGATGGGGGTGATGGTCGGATGGGGGTGATGGTCGGATGGGGGTGATGGTCGGATGGGGGTGATGGTCGGATGGGGGTGATGGTCGGATGGGGGTGATGGTCGGATGGGGGTGATGGTCGGATGGGGGTGATGGTCGGATGGGGGTGATGGTCGGATGGGGGTGATGGTCGGATGGGGGTGATGGTCGGATGGGGGTGATGGTCGGATGGGGGTGATGGTCGGATGTCGGATGGGGTGATGGTCGGATGGGGGTGATGGTCGGATGGGGTGATGGTCGGATGGGGGTGATGGTCGGATGGGGGTGATGGTCGGATGGGGGTGATGGTCGGATGGGGGTGATGGTCGGATGGGGGTGATGGTCGGATGGGGGTGATGGTCGGATGGGGGTGATGGTCGGATGGGGGTGATGGTCGGATGGGGGTGATGGTCGGATGGGGGTGATGGTCGGATGGGGGTGATGGTCGGATGGGGGTGATGGTCGGATGGGGGTGATGGTCGGATGGGGGTGATGGTCGGATGGGGGTGATGGTCGGATGGGGGTGATGGTCGGATGGGGGTGATGGTCGGATGGGGGTGATGGTCGGATGGGGGTGATGGTCGGATGGGGGTGATGGTCGGATGGGGGTGATGGTCGGATGGGGGTGAGCCTGCACGCGAGCGTACCATAGAGACTCCCAGCAAAGAAGGACCGTCTTTCTTGCTTCATGCTGCCCCTGTTTTTTCCTCTCCCATTGCCCGTATCTTCCTCACCCTGGCCCCCCTGCTCCATCCACTTCCCCACTTCTCCCCACTTCCCAACTGCCCTACTGCCTTGCACCTGTGGGCATCATCCCCTTCACTCCACCTCCTTCAACACACCAGGACCCGCGCTACAACCGCATGCGGGTGCCGTCCTGCCCCACCCACACCCCGCTCTCTGCATGCACAGTCCGACGATTACTCGCATCATTCCTCTCGCACCCAGCCATTGACTTCACAGTGGCAGCAGCCACCGTGCCAGCGCACGCCGTCATTGCAGCCGACGCCTTCCACCCCTCGCGTGCGCCGCACCTGCCCTTTGCTTCTCTCGTGCGTGGGCTGGACTGCTCGCCCTTTGAGGGCATGCCCGGCGGGTGGGAGGCGCGGCTGGGCGCGGAGTGGAGTTTGAGGCGCAAGGGGAAGAGCGAGCACGAGCTGACTCTTGCGGAGGCTGTTCGCTGCACTCAGTTCCTGGTGGGTTGCCTGCCTGGCTGCTTGCCTGCCTGCCTGCCTGCCTGCCCTGCTGTCCCGTCAAGGGAATCTCTCACCATCATCCCATAATCTTCCCTCTACCTGGTTGCATTTTCCTGTGAAACGTCTTCTTCTTACCTCCCTTCCTCTCTTCTTCCCCACTAACCTCCCTCTCTCTCCCCCATCTCCCCCCCATGACCCCCCATGCCAGACGGCAGAGTTGCTGCTGCTAACTGAGGCGCCCAGTCTGCTCTACTCCTTTCCATCAAATGCCTTTTGAGTCCACTCAAAACCCATCTTCCCCCCACTAACCTCCCTCTCTTTCCCCCATGCCAGACGGCAGAGCTGCTGCTGCTAACTGAGGCGCCCAGTCTGCTCTACTCCTTCCCCTCGCCCGCACTCAACCTCATCATGGCGCGTGCTGTGGCCCGCACACCTTCTTTCCACCTCATGGTCCCCTCGCTTTGTGGCGCGCCGTGCCCACCGCCACTGCTCCAGCAGAAGTTTGCCGAGCACATGATCGTCGATGGTGCGTGCAGCCTGCCAGCTGATATGGTGCATGCATTGGGTTCATGTCTTTTGAGGCGCCTCAATAATGCATCCTGCCAGCCAAGTTGCTGCATTGGATGCTCCATGTGCCAGGACGGGTCATTGGATCGTGCACGTGACGTGGGATTATGTATGTGTGCAATCCACAGATGTGCATGGAGTAATTCATGTGCATGGAGTAATTCATGTGCATGGAGTAATTCATGTGCATGGAGTAATTCATGTGCATGGAGTAATTCATGTGCATGGAGTAATTCATGTGCATGGAGTAATTCATGTGCATGGAGTAATTCATGTGCATGGAGTAATTCATGTGCATGGACTTACATATGTGCCCATCTCGCCTTTCATGCTCACCCATTGATGCAGCTTGCGGCTCATGCTTCCTCGAATGGGCCTTTCATGCTTCCTCGAATGGGCCTTTCATGCTTCCTCCCTCTCCTCTCCTCTCCTCTCCTCTCCTCTCCTCTCCTCTCCTCTCCTCTCCTCTCCTCTCCTCTCCTCTCCTCTCCTCTCCCCTGCCTGTCCTCACCCCTCGCAGAGGAGCTGAAGGTGGCGTACTGTGCGTTACCCAAGGTGGCCAACACGAGCTGGAAGCTCTGGTTCCGCCTCTTCCGCGTCAACGGCAACGCCACTGCTGCCTTCGGCGTCCCCGACGACACCAACGCCACCGCTTCTGCTGCTGCTGGAGCTGCTGGGGCAGCAGAGAGCGGCGGAGCAGCAGCAGCAGCAGGGGGAGGAGGAGGAGGAGGAGGAGGAGGAGGAGGAGGAGGAGGAGGAGGAGGAGGAGGAGGAGGAGGAGGAGGAGGAGGAGGAGGAGGAGAGGGGGGGTTGAAGCTGAGTGCGCGGGAGTTTAAAGCGATACACGTGTCGGAGGGCAACGGCATCACGGAGCTGAGTGAGCTGGGCGAGCGCGAGGCGGTGCGGTTCCTGTCGCGCCGTGACGTGCTGCGGTTCACGTTCGTGCGCAACCCGTACACGCGCGTGGCGTCCGCCTTCCTCGACAAGGTCGTAAAGGCCCGCGACTTTCTCAACAACGGCAGCGCTCGGCTGTACTGGGCTCAGGTGCGAAAGGAAGAGGTGTAGTTTTTAGACGTCTCTAAAATACTTTTTTATCACGCAACAACTGCGGCGCTCGCCTGTACTGGTCTAAGGTGCGGAATGAAGAGGGAAGTGGGGTGAGAGGGGAAGGAGGGGGGCCGGGGATGAGGGAAATTGACGCAGGGGAAGGGGGGAAAAGAGGGGGATTGAAATGGAGGGAACTAGTGGTGCTTTCCAGAACAAGGTCATCAATGCCCGCAACTTCCTCAGCAACGGCAGCGCTCACTTGTACTGGGCTCAGGTGCAACGCAGGGAGTGGAGAGAGAGTGGGGGTAAGGGGGGATGAGGTGTAAGGGAGGAGCGGAGAGACGAGGAGAGATTGATGGTTTTTTTCTTCCACCATGTTCGTGTGCTTCCCTTTAGCATTCCTTGACTCATCTCATGTCCTACCAAAAACCCGCCATCACACCTCCCGTTCCGTCACGCCTGCTCAGAACGCCTCCGACCTCTTCTCAAGAACCCCTCCTCTCATCACTCCTCCATCCCTGACTCTCTCCACTACCAGGCGCTGTTCAAGCGGGCACCGCAGTACAGCAGCATGATGGCACGGCATCCAGACGGCAACTTCTCCTTCCCTGAGTTCGTGCAGCTCACAGAGGGAGCTCTGCAGCACCCGCCCACCGACAACCACATCGACACACAGGTACGGCGGGTGGAGGGGCTGCAGGGGAGACGGGGGACGTTGAATGAGGGGGAATGGTGGGACACGTGAGACAGGAGCAGGCACATGCAGCAGTGAGGTGGGTGCGGTGAGGTGGTCTATTTGCGAGCTTTCAGGGATTGGCGGAGCGACCGCCTTTTGCACCGCCTTTTGCGGTGACGGAACTTCCCTTGTGCCTGGCCCTCCCCTACATGTCATTTCTGCTGGGCAGGTGGAGCTGTGTGCACTGGACTCAATCAAGTACGACTTTGTGGGGCGATTCGAGAGCATGATGGACGGCGTGCAGTGGGTCATGCAGCGCCTGGGCACGGAGCCGTATGGCGTGTTTGACAGCGGGCACACACTGCAGGCCACTGATGCTGACAAGAGAATCGCCCGGCTCTATGACAAGGTGCGTGAGAGACGGGCTGAAATAGGTGGGGAGGAAGGGAAGAGAGAGGGGTTGGGGGGTCTGTTTTCTGATGCAACTTCTAACCTGACTGTTGTCAATGTTTCCTTTCCAATGTGGGCAGGCTACGTTTGATATAGTGACACGAGCATATGCGAGAGACATGTACATCCCATTTAACGATATTGGCTACGAAGCACCCAAGTTGCTGGGACGAATAAACTCAACGACCTAGTTAGCAGCTCGCACCGATGCTTGTAGCGAAAGTCTCATGCATAGTTTGTTCAATATATAATTGTACATATGAACCTTGAGATAATAAGCTGCAGGTCCACACGCGACTTGGTCCAAGCGTGCGCCTTGGTCCACGGACGCGCCTTGGTCGAAGCACGTGCCTTGGTCCACGCACGCGCCTTGGTCCACGCACGCACCTTGGTCCACGCACGCGCCTTGGTCCACGCACGCGCGTTGGTCCAGGCTCGCACCTCGGTCCACGCGTGCACCTTGGTGCGCGCGCGCACCTTGTTCCACGCGCGCGCCTTGGTCCGTGCACGCGCCTTGGTCCACGTGCTCGCCTTGGTCCACGCGCGCGACTTGGTCCAAGCGCGTGATTTGGTCCAAAGGTGCGCTTGTTTTGTTGGATAGGAGTGGTCAGAAACATGAATTTTACGTTTACCACTTAACTTTTCAATAAATAAATTAATACTAATTATGCCATGCAAGCTACGATAATGAATTGTTCGTGGTACAATGTATCCAAAAGATGAGTTGACTGAGTACTTGAGATTCAGGAGTGAATCTATAAATTTCGAAGCTGTACCTGCTTTCCTCGACATCCTTGTCCTAGCGACGATCTTGCGTGTAGCGGAACATGGGCACACGCGCAACCATCTAAATCGCTGCATTGCCCATTTTGGTAAGATTTCGTCCCCAGTAGCGATGACCAGGAGTAGTGACGCACTAATGATTTCTTGGGCTTACCCATCCTTTGGTCAGAATTGTGGTTTTTGTAGTCTACTGGGGCTCGGTCCCTGTCGTTACGGGCTATGGGGACCAGCGTGGCAGCTGTGATAAGTTATTACAGGAACCACTGGAACGACGAGAGAGAACCGGAGCTCAGTGATATGCCATATGCCCTAATATTCGCCTTCGCACTTCCTGTTGCTCGATATATTCTGGACAAGTCCGTTTTCGAGGTACCTTAGCTTCTGTCCGCTGTTTCGGTTAGCCTTTCAGCATCAAACTCAAGGGGGTTTCTTTCATCTTGCAGATCTTGGGGAAAAAGTTCGTCCGTAGTAATGCGATTTGGAAAAAGGATGCCTCGCTCACTTCGGATAAGGGTTCTCCGGCTGCTATTGACAGGGAAGCCCTGTTGAAGACTCGACGGAAATACAAGGAGTCGCTGTGGAAAATTGCATATTATCTATCGTCATGTATCTTCTGCTACTTGGTGACGTCTGGAGAGCCCTGGCTCACAGACACGAAGTACTACTGGATCGGCCCTGGTTCGAAAGTTTGGCCAGATCAAACAGCAAAGCAAGTATCTGTCGAGTACGATTTTAGGGGTTTCACGTAGCTCGGGAATTCGGCTCTGATCAGGCTGTGTTGCGACATTTCATGTTTCAGGCTGAAGGCCAAGGTCCTGTTTGGCTACTTCGCGGGATTTTACATTTATAGCATTTTCGCCATTCTTTTCTGGGAGACCCGACGGAAGGACTGGCTTGTGCATCTGATCCATCATATATGTTGCGTAACCATGTCGATTGTCTGCTATCACTTCAGGTAATTTTCTCAAACGCTTGCCACCATGAATTTTGATCCTTGCCGTACCCACATAAGGCGTCGTCTGTGCGTGTTTGCAGAGTATTCCGAATGGCTCCTGCAGTCATAGGACTTCACGATATAAGCGACGTGCTGCTCGAGGTCGCGAAACTGTGCTTATATTCAGAGTTTGAGCTGGGAGCAAACGTTTCATTCGCCCTTTTCGCGACAACCTGGGTGATGTTTAGGTTGTGGTGGTTTCCGCGAAACGTCCTGTACAGCTTCTGGTATGTGGTCGAACCTTTGGCCCTCACTGCTTTCCCCCAAAGTCCCTTGTCGTGTTTGTTTCGTGATGGTGGTTCACGCATTTGCCTTTTGGCTTCAGTCTGTCTGAAGTGGTTTTCGTGTGCGTCGTTGGTGTTTCAGTTTTGAAACAATCAAATACTGGGATTTGAAGAAATACCCTGTACTCCTTCCATGGCTCTACTACGCCCTCAACTTCGCAACTCTCATGATGATAGAAATGCATTGTTATTGGTGGATACTCATCTGTAGAGTAATTTACAGGCAGGTAGTCGTTGGCCGTGTGGAAGGCGACGTCCGATCAGGTTAGTTACTGTCGTGTGACTGTTGAACTTCTGCACCAAGTTCACTGCTTTGCTATTGCTGGGCAAGTCCCGTATCTCACTGACCTCTACTGTCCTTTTGCAGATGGAGAAGACGAGGATGACTAGGACAAATTTCATCTTGCCATTCCACAAGCTTGATTAATGGAATGTATTATTTATTAATCACTTGCTGCCTATTGGCAGCTTGCTTGAAAACCATGACCCGTCCGTCACTAAAGAGCCCCTCTAACCTACTGTAGCTGTCTAGGTTCTTCAGGAACAGCATAGGGTGTAAAACTAGTGAATACAGGAAATTAAACCTCTGGTGATAGTGAGGGTGAAGAAAAAAATCAACTAGGGTACCATTTGGCACCACAAGCAGAGCAGTGTTGTGTGGGTAGCCAGGCAAATCTCGGTATTTGCACATGCTTCAAAGCAGGAGCACAAATTCTCTGCATACACAATGCATGGTTGGGTTATGACGACATGAATGAAACAGACACACAAGACAAGACAGGACAGGACACAGAGAATCTACATTAACGGACATAACAGATGTGACTTCAGCAGGTACCATGGTGGACTAAGTTTGAGTCAGCACAATGTATACGTGACACGATTATGACAAGGATCAGCTCTTGAGCTGCGTTTATCATTCCGTGCTCTTCTCTTCGCAGTCAGCATCACTTGATTCTTCCCAGCAACCAGAGACTTCGAACCTAGAAACCATACAAAAAATCAAGCAGAGGAGAGTGCACACGGAGACAGGACCACCAAGGGAGAAGTACCGGTAAGATAAAAAGAACAGGAGCATGCCCACCCTCAATACAGCAACAGACAAATGCAGTTGCAAAAATGCACCTGTCAAGCTTCTTGTCCTACCTTGCACATGTGTGGAGAGCACATCCCTCCGTGCTCACTGGGCACCACCACCACCTGCATTTCCACCAGTGCCTCCTGCCACTTCTGCCATGAACTGCGCATACTCTTTCTCGCCACCCGCACCCACTCCCTCCCCTCCCAGCGGTCCCTCGCTTCCTGCCCCACCAACCAGCGCCCCCCCCTTGACTGCACCAGCTGACACTGCTGCTGCCATGGCTGCTGCTGCTGCTGCAGACGTGGGGGCCCATGAAGGCTGTTGTGCCGCCGCCGCCGCCGCCGCTGCAGCTGCTGCTGCTGCAGGATCCATATGGGGATAGAGAGCAGGAGGACAGGAAGGCTCCATGCCAGGAGGGGGCTCTGCTGCTGCACCCACCTCGCCAGGCGCACCAGGCGGCGGGGTGGAAGTCCCAGGGGGCAATTCCACGTCCTCATACACTCCAGGCGGGCCCACCATTCCCGGGTATGCACCAGGCGGGGGCGGGTAGTCCGGAGCAAAGCCATGCGGCATGAAGGCACCTGGGGGAGGGCCCGATGCTCCATATGGGGGAAACGGAGGTGGTGGCACACCTTCGGGATAGCCAGGCGGGGCATAGGGAGGAGGGACGTTGCCAGGTGGAGGTGGGCCGCAGAGGCCAAACGGAGGAGGGGGGCCACCAGGGGGGTGAGCCCAGGGAGGGGGAGGAGCAGAAGGGTCAACAGACCCAGGCGGAGGGTACGGGGTAGGGGGGCCATAAGGGGGGCGCAGAGGGGGAGGGCCCATGTGCGGGGGAGGACCAGCGCCACCAGGAGCAGCAGAGCCAGGAGGACCAGAAGGCCCAGAAGGCCCATACGGACCAGGGGGGCCAGGGGGGCCGTGGGGGCCAGGTGGGCCGTGGGGACCAGCACCACCCACACCACCGCCTCCTGGTGCTGCCCCTGCTACTCCCATCCCTCCTCCCGGCCCTCCCGGCCCACCGGGACCACCAGGGCCGCTGCCCTGCTGGTTCTTGGCAGTGGAGCGCACGACAATGGTCTTACCCTCCATGCGGTACCCATTCAGCCCCTGTGTGGCCGCCATTGCCGCCTGCCGCTCCACAAACCGCACAAACCCAAACCCCCGGCTCATGCCCGTGTTGCGATCGCGGATGATCTTGGTCTCCTGAATGCGCCCGTACGGGGCAAAGAGAGAGTACAGCCCTTGGTCGTCCACAGACTGAGGCAGGTACCCCACATAGAGGTTACAATCGTCCTCCACACGGCTTGACCCCCTGCCCCCTCCTCCCCCCCCACGCTCCCCACCGCCTCCCTGCTCGCCGCCTCTCTCCCCCCGCTCGCCCCCTCCCCATCCCCCTCCGCGCTCCTCCCCTCCCCCACGCCCCCCAGCACCGCCATCCCCACCCTCTCCCCCGATCGGTCCCCCCACGCCTCCCCCCACCTCAGCCAGGAACGACATATACTCCTCGTCAAGCTTCTGCCCCTGCGCTCCCCCGCCGCCGCCCCCTCCCCCTCCGCCCGCGCCCTTCATGGGGCAATCCACAGACGGATGCCCCCCATCCCCGCAGATCGTGCACATGACTTCAGACCGGAAAGTCGAGTGCCGGTCGGGGCAGTTGTACTGCCTGTGGCCCTGCTCCCCACACAGCCGGCACACCAGCTCCTCCTCTCGGATCGTGCCATTGAGCGCCGCAAGCTCCCTCAGCTGCGCGCGCTTGTGCTCGTTGTGCCCCTCGTCTACAGGAACCAGCAGCTTCTGAACCATATCCGCCGCCTCGTTAAGAGCTGCCTCGCTATCCGCCTCCACCAGCACGTGCAAATCCTCGTTGTCCGCCGGGTCGGGCTTGAAATCCCTCCCGCCCTTCGCCGCCCGCCCCTCCTTCACAGACCCTCTCCCCCGGATCACAATCTTGGCACCCGTCTCTTTCTCCATACGCTTCTGTGTGTTGCCGCGCGGCCCGATAATCAACCCAATGAAATTATACCCTGGGTATTCTTTCATGGGGATGAACAGCTTCTTATAATACTTGGGCGGCTTGTAATCCGCAGGCGGTTTGAACCCAGGGTTCTTCTTTATCATCTCCGCAATCACCTCCTGCCGCTCCCGCATCAGCTTCTCTTTCACGCGCTGCTCCCGTGTGTTCACTCGCACGCCCATGTTGTCGTATATCGGCTCGGGCGACGGAGACCGCTCCACCGAGCGTTCCTCCGTGAGCCCAAGCGCAGCAGCCATGGCGCCCTCTAGCCCTGCAGCAGAATCCCCAGTAAGATTGCCTGCCTGTAGCTTCTTGTTTATTTCCAGCAACCGGATGTTGAGTGCTTGCACCTCGGGGTTGAGGTCTCCTGAGATCTCCCGCACGAATTCTGGGAGCTTGATGGAAGAGAGGAGAGCTGCAGCAGCGCTCGTCACCCCGCCAACGCCAACCCCCACTCCTGCTGCAGCTGCAGCAGAGGGATCGCTGTCGCCCCATCGGCTCTTACGCTTGCGCTGCCCTCCTGCTGCGCTGTTTCCCGCAGCACCCGCGTCTGCTCCTGCTGCTGCTCCTCCTGCCGCTGCTCCTGCCTCTTCGCCTGCACCTGTTGCTGCTGCTGCTGCTGCCGCGTCTCCTTCAGCAGGGCCCCACCTGCTGCGCCTGCGTTTTCCTGTCTTGCCATCCCCACTGCCACCACCAGCAGCAGCGCCAGCAGCAGCGCCATTAGCAGCAGCAGCAGCAATGGAATCTGGCGCTCCTGCACCCGCGCCCTCAGCCAGAATTCCTCCCACAACAGCACTGGCAGGAGCAGCAATGCTCCCTACAGTACCACCCGCAGCAGCCTGCCCTCCTGCACCCGCAGAGGGTGCATGCCCCAGCACGGGCTCTTCTGCAGGCTGCCAACGAGAACGGTGCCTGGAACCCTCCATAGCCTTGCTTGGAGCGCTCGCCATCCCACTGCCACTCACAACACCACCAGGAGCACCAGGAGCAGCGCTGCCCCTGTCAACACCGCCCACAGCAGCAGCTGCAGCAGCAGAGGCGGCAGCAGCGGAGGCGGCAGCAGCAGCAGCAGCAGCAGCGGCGGCGGCGGCGGCAGCTGCATCAGCTTCTTGTGCGGCCTGTTCTGCCCACGGCTGCTCAGCAGTCCCCACGTGCGCCTGAGGAAACGGATCAAACGGGGCACTAGCTTCCATAGCAGAACCTGCTTTGGCCCTCCACGCTCCGTGCTCCCTTGATGCACCCCGCTCCCTCGACGCGCCCCTTTCCATTGATGAACCTCTCCCTCTTTCCAATTCCCTCTCCCGCGATCCAACTCTCTGCCGCGATCCAATTCTCTCCCGAGAAACGTCCCTTTCCCGCGATACGCCTCTCTCCCGTGACGACCATCGCTCCTTAGATCTCGCCCTTCTCTCAGACGACCCTGACCTAGCTGCTATCCTTCCCTCCTGCTCCTCCGCACCCTCTCTCCCCCGCTGCCTCTCCCTGTGCCGCCTCCTTCCCGCCTTATCCCCGCCGTCCTTCCCATCGTAGTAATCTCCCTCGCTCGGCACGCCGCGCTTGCCTTCCCAGTGCTCCCTGCTTCGCTCACGCGGATCCCGCTCCCCCTCCTCGTGCTCATACCCGTGCTTCTCCACATGCTGCTCCTGCTCCTGCTCGCACTCATGCTCGTGCTCGCGATCCTGCTCGTGCCTCGATCTCCTCCGCTTCTTCTTATGCCGGTGGCTCTCCCCTCGCTGCGTGTCCTCCTTGTCACCGCCCCTCTCGCCTCGATGGTCACGCCTCTCCTCATGCCGCCTCTCCCTGTGTCGCCTGCGCTCCCTCTCATGCTCGTACCCCACCTCCTCCCCCTCCTCCATCCGCGCTTCCACTTGCTGCCCCTCCTCCCTCTCCTCCTTCTCCTCCTCCTTTTCCTGCTTCACGATCACCTGACCCCTCACCCCGCCCACCTCCTCTCCCGCGCCCACCCTTTCAACGCTCCGCCACATGCCCTTCTCGTCGCCCCTTCCTCCCTTGCTCATCGTCGCACTCGCCGCCCAGTGACGCTCGCCGTCGCCGCCACCCTCAGCGCCGCCCTCTCGGTGCGCGCGACCCATCTGCGCCTCGCCCTGCGCGCGGCGGGAGAAGGACCGCTGGGGGTGGTGTCCGCGGGAGCCCTGCTCCGCCTCCAGTCCTCCCCACTGCGCCCACCGCCCCCTCTCCACCTCGCCAACCTCGCCACCGTTCCGTTCCTCTTTGCGCTCCCGCTCCTCGCTTCTGCGGCGCGTCTGCTCCTGCTCCCGCCACCACTGACCCCCGTGGCCGTAACTCGCATCCACCTGACCCTCCTCCTCTTCCTCCTCCTCCTCTTTCACCACTTTCTCCTCTTCCTCCTCCTCTTTGTCGTCCCTACTGCCTCCCTCACCGTGAATGCGCAACTTCCAGCCGTCCTCTCCCTGCTCCTCCCATTCAGCAGCACCAACACTCCAGCAGCGCTGCTCCCGCGCGAGTAACTGCGCGTCTTTCTCCGCACTTCGCCTCCCCGCTTCCCTGCGCTCCTTGGCCGTCTGTCCACCGTCGAGATTATGCGAAAGCGGTTTGTCCCGCGGGGGGTGCGGCCGCGCCGCAGGCACGGCCTCGTGTTCGTTCTCGCCGTCGTGATCGCGATCTTGCAACGGAATCTCCCCTTCCGATAGCTCCCCTTCCTCCAGTCCCACTCCCGCACCCTCGCTCGACAGGCCGTGACCATCGGCGGGCATATCTTTCGCGCGCCCGCGTATCTTCTCCACGCCCGCTGCTATGCCAACCTCCTCCCCCTCCTCCCCCTCCTCCTCCTCCTCCTCTTCCGCGCCCGCCAAAATCTCCTTCTCGAAACTCCGATCTTTCTCCCAACCTTTGCCGATCTCCTCCCCCTCCTCCCCCTCCTCCCATCCCCACTCCTTGTCGCTCGCTCTTCCCCTCTCACTCCGCCTCTCGCGATGCTTCGGCCTTTCCCACACCGCCTCTTCGTCCGCACCCGCGGGAGCGGCGCGGAAGCTCGTGTGCGCACGTGCGCCGTGCGAACGATGCTGGCGGGACCGCTCCTCGCGCCACTGCTGCTGCTGATACCGCTCATCCTCCTCCCACGCCGTGTAGTGTCTGTCCGTGCCTTCCTCCCGCTGCTGCTGCTGCTGTGGCGGCGGCTGCGAGTGCCGTTGCCGGTGCTCCCCAGATTCGTGCTTCGCACTGTGTTCCTCTCCACGCTCGCGTGACGTGCGACGCTCGCGACTCTTGTCGCGCGTCGACGACTTGAAGCTTCGCACAGGGCCACGGAGGTGAGGCGTCGCCGAATCCGTCGATTTGTCATCTTCCGCGTAAGTACCCGTCGGCTCTTGCCGCCATGACGACTGGTTGTGGCCGCCGGTGCTGTGCTGCGCGCTCTGGAACGATCGCTCCATGCCGCTGGAGATGGCGCGACACGCGCAAGATCCGAATCCTCGAGGCAGGTTACGGGTCTCTCAGAAAACAAATTTCGTTGGGGAATTGAATATACTCCAAGATCCGAAAGGATATAACGGTAGGGAAGCAGGTGGAGTGACGGATATGATAAAAATCCCAGAATACGACGGTATCTCAGCAGAAAGATTTGATTCCAGACCGAGGAAAGCAGGGGTTCGGAACTCGAGAATCCTTAAAACCCAAATAGATTCCTGTTTGCCTCCTTCAGCTAGCCGTAGATTCGCGACGAGCTAGTTCCGCCAGTGGCAGTAATCCAACGTAGGCAAGAGAAGGACGGAGAGCCGATATGCATCCATAATCAGTGGACTAGGAATGGCATGAGATGCGGTGTGGGAGTTGAGGGGCAGTCATCTGCTTGTAGACAAGTAAAGGCCAATCTATCTAGCACAAGCGGATCCAAAGACCGGCTGAGCAGGCAGGCAGGCAGGGGCAGAGTAGTCTTGGGCTGATTCTCACAGATCCATGGGGTACAGCTGAAGCAGCCGAAAGGCCGAAAGAGTTGCCTCGAGACCTGCCCAGTGCCCAACCTCTAGGGCCAACTTCGAGATGTACATGCGTCTCGGTAAGTGTTTGGGACTGTTACGAGTGCAATTGAGTGAACGAACGAGAATTGCACTATCGAAGCAAGAGTACAATGAGCGAAGGCATGAGCGAACAATATATAGCGAAACTACAGTGGTAACGGTAATGGTCGCGCGACGAGCCTGGGACTGAGGTTGGGAAAGTGTCGAAGCGTAGGCCCGGAGCGCGGGTTACCAGCCGAGCCGTGAGGTCGGGATGCGATGTGCGAAAATGGCGGGATGATGAATGATGCGATGGTCGCGAGTGATAACGGTGCTGACTGAGGTGCTACAGTGATGTACGCGTTGAGCAGGGACGCGAAGTAAGGAAAAAGGGGATTTCCTTACACTACCCCCCCTCCTAAGTGTTGGAAACAATAAGTCTTAGTGCGCTTCTGTCGTGTCAAAACCCAAGACACTAGCGAAGCAGTCCGAATCGAAGCATCGAGTCAAACCTCGGAGGTTAGGGTAACCGCCTGGAGGTTACGGGAAAGTCAAAGGTCAGCGACCTTTGACTCGACAATTACAGCGCGACAGTTAAGGACACACAACTGACTCGTTACAGAGCAGTTGCCTGAGTCGCACTGTATCGAATCGCAACAGCAAATGCAGTTATCTATCCATTCGTATTCCCTGTACTCTTATATAAAATCTTGTATTTGCTCGTTTAATTTAATCCACTTTGCTCTCACACACTAGTGCAAGGTCGGTTCACAAACTTCATTAAACGCTTCCGCTATTACAAATATCCTACCCAGAGTTATCCTCTGCAAAGATCCTTAAGGGCTTTCTCAGCCCAACATGGTATGAGAGCTGACAGGGGAAACTCTAAACTTTTTATATTACAAGACATGGCAACAAACAAGGAAAGGAGCTCCCCTAATGGCTCCTCGGGCACTACTCCTACTCCACCACCAGCCTCTGGCCTGCAGACAGAGGAAGGCACGGCAGCAAGACCAGGGGGAACGTCAACCGAGACCCCCACGAATCACCCTTCTGACTTCGACCAGAGCATGATGGAGAAATTCTTCTCCTTCATGTCCTTCTACGAGCAACACCAGCAGTCGGGACCTGCACAGACACACAACAGCAACAACGGAGCGACACCCATGAGCCTTGATGGGTCGTCATATGCGCGAGGGAATCAACAGCAGCAACCCACCTTCGCCCCGTACGAGCGCGGGTCAATCAGCTTCCTGCCTCAACCTTCACCTGCGCAAGACAAACCAATGGACGCGTTACAAGTTCAGTCGCAATTCGCACATGTTTTGAAATTACAAACATCAAGACCTTTCGACGGAAAGGACTTCTTCACCTGGTCCTTTGAATTCGAGCTGATGATGGAGGGCGCGCAAATACTCGGCTTCTTCGACGGATCCCTGCAGTATCCAGCAAACGGCACACAGTATGAGAAGCAGCAGTATACGTATCAATCGATGATGGCGTACACTATTCTACTGAGAAACATCACACCAACCCAGCAGCAGAACATTCGCTCTAACCGGAACTTCGGCAACTCGGCGGAACTCGCGTACGGCCATCTGAAGAACCTGTATCAAGCAACAGACAGTGTAAACCAGAGCAGGTTAATGGCGCAATTGACAACAGTTGAAATGAAACCAGGAGAAAAGGGATTGGCGTATATCAGCCGATGTCGCGAATTGCGCGACAAGCTTCTTCGATGCGGAGGATCAATCTCTGAAGACGCCTTCGTGACAGTCATCATCGGTGGCCTCGGTCCTCAGTGGCGCGCCACCAAAGCAATTCTTCGAGCCCACGGAAGAATCTCTGAAGCAGCACTTTGCGCCGAAATCCACGCTGAGCGGCAGGACATGGACCTACAAGAAGAAAGGCACAAGAAAAGGGCATTAGCACCGGAGTTCGCTTTCCATACTCAGCGACGACACAACAACTACAACAACCGACAGCAGCAGCCGAAGCTAGTACCTCCGTTTTGTCACATCTGCAAAACATCAGGACATCCACGCACGAATTGCCCTTCTCGTCAGACAATACCACAGCGACAACTGCGGCCTTCAAGCTCACAAGTTGCTTCAACGCAAGCAAGTCCGACGACAACAATTCAAGCTTCAACGACTTCAACTGGACAACCTGCACAAGGAGCAAGAAACATAGTCAACTGCATGGTCAAGATAAACGATTCTTGCATAACAGAGTCACCACCCCACTACTCACCAGAAGAGGAGCTCGACAACAGGACGCCCCGCCGCAAATCACTCCACCCGAATCCGACTTACGCCGCCATCGCTCAAAGTGAACCGTCCGGCCAAGACACTTGGTTCTTGAATAGTTGCTGCGGGCAACACATGTGCTCGTCCGGGCGCTTCGTACAACGCGAACATTGACTCCAACGAGAAGTGATCATCACCGTCGCCAACAATCAAAACCTGCGCACACGACGACAAGGAGTGGTACAGCTTCAGTCAAGAGAAACAAATGTCATAGTGCACATGTCAAAGGTACTCATCGCTGAAGGACTCGGCTACAACTTACTGAGTGTTAGCCAACTGATGGCAAAAGGGATTCACCTGGAAGCCGACAGCACCACCCAGGAGTTCAAGCTATACCACGGGAGAGGCGGCCTCTACATCGGGAAGGCAGTGCTGAAGAACAACGTCTTCGTCCTCGACTTCGTTCCTGACCTGGGCACTGCAGACACCGACGCCATCGTGAATTTTACTGACTGGACACACCCTCCAGATCTCGACCCTGACTTCAGCCCGGGAGGTTTATGGTACTCCCACACTATCCCTGAAGCAGAAAGAACACGAGCGTTAGCAACGATTCAACAAACACCAGAAGCAGAGACAACATCGGCAGCAGCAACAACATCGGCAGCAGCAACAGCATCGGCAGCAGCAACAACATCGGCAGCAGAGACAACATCAGCAGCAGCAGGAACAACGACACCGGTCACAGTCGACGAAGCACCACCAACACCCGTGCAACAACTGAATCCGACTCAACGCGAAGTCCACCGAAGCGCCAACTTCGTCGCCAGTTTTTACTCCAACTCCGACGCATACCAACGTTCACCCGGACACCGCGCCTCTGAAGAGATCTGGCACGCACGCACAGGACATCCAAGCAACACGGTTTTAAATAACACGATACGAGCAGGAGTTCTTGACAAAGACTCTCTGCTTCTACCCGACGGCAGAGAACTCCAAAAGGCACGAGGGACTTGCCTTATATGCCCCGAAGCTGACTTACCTCATCGACCGTTCGCTCCACATCACAACCCGAGCGCTCCAGCGTACGCACCACTCGAAAAGGTCTACAGCGACATCCTCTACAATCGCGAACCAGGACAAGTTAACTACAACTACACCATCACCTTCATCGACGCCGCCACTCGATATGTCTGGCATCGTAACCTACCCAGCCGCGACATGGCACTCGCAGCATTCGCCGCCTGGCTACCGATAGCAGAGAGAGAGTCTGGAATGCAACTGAAAAGCTTCCAGTCACACGGAGGTGGCGAGTACACCTCTCAGCGCTTCAAGCAGTTCCTGGCGGAAAGGGGGATCAAGCAACTCCTCTCCCTTCCCTACGCACATCAGCAGCAAGGTGTTGCAGAGAGAATGAACAGGACCCTGCAGAACAGCATGCGCAAACTGTTACGTGGCATGCGGCTACCCAACCACCAATGGCCAGCAGCAATGGACCATGCTGTCATGCTGCACAACTTGTTGTCGTCGTCGTCACTCCCGAACAACGCATCACCGCATCTGCTGTGGACAGGGAAGCAGGGCAGCACAAAAATGTTACGAGTTTTCGGGTGCATGGTACAGTACAGACCCCCAGAAGCACGAGCGGGAAGATTTTCGCAACGGGCACAGTGGGGACTACACCTCGGCATCGAGAAAAATTACAACGCGTGGAGAATCTTCGACGTCCACACAAAAGAAACAGTAGCAGCACGAGATGTGATCTTCTACGAACGCCTCACCCTTCAGACGTACCTCGCCAACTTGCACGAGAATCGGAACCTCACCAGTGGCTTTCGTGGTGACCAAGCCTTCGCGTCAGCAGCGGATGAAGCAGACTGGGATGAGCAGAACGTCGACAACGCATCGGAGGAAGCCGGACCTCTTCCGTACTGCTCCGTCAACGTGCCCATGGATGAGGATAACCCTCGCGACAGTTACAACGCCGAAGTCTTCTACCATTTCGCCGACAATGGTTACGTAACACCTGCGACAGTCAACACCAACGAAGCAGAAAGGGTAGGGCCAAATTTCATACCCGACCCAGAAGTGGGAGACGAAGTAGCTTATCCCGAGGATCCAGAACTCCCTCGATACTCACAGACTGGACTGCAAATCCTTGGTCTCGTCACCGCGGTCCATGGCGCC